ACATCCCTCGTCCTGAACCATAACAGGTCACATGCCCCCAAGATGGGGGAGGTACCTTGTAAAGATGGAAAATGGGGAGAATAAGAGGGACGATGGACACCAGATTATAATTTTGGATGGACACCAATTTTATTACCCATATGGTGTATATTTATGGACGCTATATTACACTGATAACTGAGATGTAATATTATTGAATTGCCTGAGTTGCCTTATGGGGGGGAGGGGAGTTGACACCCACCCAGCATACACTAGTCCCTCCAGTACAGGACGGGTCTCAGTATTGGCCCAGCACCAACAGCCGTCACCTCCGAGGGGCTCAGAAAGGGTCAATAGTCAGAGATACTCCAGACTGGAAGCATGACTTGTAATTATTAACATTCCGGGAACAGACGTAGAAGGATTATTCATTTCGAGGATCTAAGTGGGTTCTCCGTTTATTACATCACGCCTACTTACTTTTAAAGGTTGCAAGCAAATGTGCGCCCATTCATGAGTGGATTCATTTGGGGAGTGGGTGCAGGTCTCTAGGCGGTTCTATTATAACTGTTTAGGGCAGCTTCAGATTGTGTTCATCCTGTGACTTCTTTTATTTTATTTTATTTTTCTGTGATCTGGAAGATTTTTTTTTTTCTTTTACTTGCTGCGTGTTTTTGGTTACTCTGATGTAATTAAAATTGCATCATTGGGAACATTTTAGTTTTTTTTTTAGTTTTTTTTACCGCACGATAGTAAAGATGGAAGAATGGGGGGGAACAAATAATTATTTTAATTTTATTTCAGGTACTTTATATAGCACCGTCAGTTTACATACATATTTTCAACATTCATATCAGTCCCTAACCCTGAAGAGGTGTACAATCTAAGGTCCTTAACTCACATACTAGGGCAAATTTAGACAGGAGCCAATTAAACTCCCAGCATGTCTTTGGAGTGTTGGAGAAAACCCACACGGGCACAGGGAGAACACGCAAACTCAAGGCAGGTGGTGCCATGGTTGGGATTCGAACCAATGACCCGAGTACTGCCAGGCAGAGGTGCTAACCACTTAGTCATAGTACTTCCCATAATTATATATACCACACAGGCAACTGGACTTATCCAACATCTTCCAAACCATCCGATGGAATATAAAGGGGGCCCCAAAGTAGGCACAGGGAGAAAATGCAAATTCAAGGCAGGTGGTGCCATGGTTGGGATTTGAACCAGTGACCATAATACTACCAGGCGGAAGTGCTAACCACGTAGCCACTGTGCTGCCCATAATTACATATACCACACAGGCAGCTGGACTAATCCAACATCTTCCAACCCATCCAATGGAATTTAAAGGGGGTCCCAAGGCAAAAAAAAGTGGGATATCCCCCAACAAATCATGCCAGATCCTGAATCCAAGCACCCAGCTTGGCTGTCCAGTAAAGGGGGGATGAAAAGTCACCGCCCCCCCCTCCCTCTCCTAAATCATACCAGGCCACATGCCCTGCATGTGAGGGTATCTTGACAGGGACGATCTCCTGGCAAAGCACCCATGTTGATGAGGACAAGGACCTCTTCTCACAACCCTGGCTTGGTGGTTTTGGATGGGGTGGTAGAGTGTGGGGCTGCTGTTGGAAGTTGGAAGCCCCTTTTAAAAAGGGTGGCCCCCAGATATCTGCCCCCACCTATGTGAATGAGTAAGGCCCACCCATTCACAAAAAAAATGTAAGGTGGAAACAAAGCCACCGTCACCCAAATGTTTGACAAGTCCTTTATTAAAAAAGAAAAAAAAATAGACCCTCTCCTGCTGACTCACTAAAAGAGAAAAACCTGATGGACCCGGCCCACACGACCAATCCCAAGGATGTTCCTCAAAAAATGAAAGCTCCCTGACCTGTCATCGGCTATATAAGGAAAGCGCACAGATGGTGGTGACATCATTGACCAAATATACAGATAGTGGTGACATCATTGACCAAATATAGCCATGGCTATCCTTGCCTCTTTGCTTAAGTGGCTGGGGATCCCAAACCACTGTAGTCAATTTGCCGGTGACGATGGCGGCTGCTGGGGATGTGAAGACAAGAACAGTCATCCTTTTGGTTACAGGAAGCTTCTGCACAGAGGTTCATCCTGGATTACTATACAGATCTGGAAGAAATACGCAAAGCACAGCAAGATTCAAGCAGAATATGCATGACCAATGGATTTAGACAATACTTGCTTATCCAAGAGTTCAGATTCAATAGTGGTGGTGGAGGTGTTGAGGGGGGGGGGGGTAACAGAGGGGAGAGTAGAGAGGGGAGCTGCTCATCAGGGTGCATAACAGCTGGTGGTGGCACTAAGGGGAAGAAAATGCAATGAGGGCTCATCTTGTAAATGCAGGACAAGAGGCACACTTATGTGGTACAATGCCAGGCACACTGTAGTACAATGATAGTTCAATGCCTGGCACATGGTACATTGAAAGCACAATGTCTGGCACATGGCGGTACAATGATAGTACAATGTCTGGCACATGGTGGTACAATACCTGGCACATGGCAGTACAATGTCTGGCACATGGGGGTACAATGGTGGTACAATGTCTGGCACATGGCGGTACAATGATAGTACAATGTCTGGCACACGGCGGTACAATGATAGTACAATGATAGGCACATGGCGGTACAATGATAGTACAACGTCTGGCACATGGCGGTACAATGATAGGCACACGGTGGTACAATGATAATACAATGTCTGGCACATGGCGGTACAATGATAGTACAATGTCTGGCACACGGCGGTACAATGTCTGGCACATGGCGGTACAATGATAGTACAATGTCTGGCACATGGCGGTACAATGATAGTACAATGTCTGGCACATGGCGGTACAATGATAGTACAATGTCTGGCACATGGTGGTACAATGATAATACAATGTCTGGCACATGGTGGTACAATGATAGTACAATGTCTGGCACATGGTGGTACAATGATAATACAATGTCTGGCACATGGTGGTACAATGATAGTACAATGTCTGGCACACGGCGGTACAATGATAGTACAATGTCTGGCACATGGCGGTACAATGATAGTACAATGTCTGGCACATGGCGGTACAATGATAGTACAATGTCTGGCACATGGCGGTACAATGATAGTACAATGTCTGGCACATGGCGGTACAATGATAGTACAATGTCTGGCACATGGTGGTACAATGATAGTACAATGTCTGGCACATGGCGGTACAATGATAGTACAATGTCTGGCACATGGCGGTACAATGATAGTACAATGTCTGGCACATGGCGGTACAATGATAATACAATGTCTGGCACACGGCGGTACAATGTCTGGCACACGGCGGTACAATGATAGTACAATGTCTGGCACACGGCGGTACAATGTCTGGCACACGGCGGTACAATGATAGTACAATGTCTGGCACATGGCAGTACAATGATAGTACAATGTCTGGCACATGGCGGTACAATGATAGTACAATGTCTGGCACATGGCGGTACAATGATAGTACAATGTCTGGCACACGGCGGTACAATGTCTGGCACATGGAGGTACAATGATAGTACAATGTCTGGCACATGGCGGTACAATGATAGTACAATGTTTGGCACATGGCGGTACAATGATAGTACAATGTTTGGCACATGGTGGTACAATGATAGTACAATGTCTGGCACATGGTGGTACAATGATATTACAATGTCTGGCACATGGTGGTACAATGATAGTACAATGTCTGGCACATGGCGGTACAATGATAATACAACGTCTGGCACATCGAGGTACAATGATATTACAATGTCTGGCACATGGTGGTACAATGATAGTACAATGTCTGGCACATGGCGGTACAATGATAGTACAATGTCTGGCACATGGCGGTACAATGATAGTACAATGTCTGGCACATGGCGGTACAATGATAGTACAATGTCTGGCACATGGCGGTACAATGATAGTACAATGTCTGGCACATGGTGGTACAATGATAGTACAATGTCTGGCACATGGTGGTACAATGATAGTACAATGTCTGGCACATGGCGGTACAATGATAGTACAATGTCTGGCACATGGCGGTACAATGATAGTACAATGATAGTACAATGTCTGGCACATGGCGGTACAATGATAGTACAATGATAGTACAATGTCTGGCACATGGCGGTACAATGATAGTACAATGTCTGGCACATGGCGGTACAATAATAGTACAATGTCTGGCACATGGCGGTACAATGATAGTACAATGTCTGGCACATCGAGGTACAATGATATTACAATGTCTGGCACATGGCGGTACAATGATAGTACAATGATAGTACAATGTCTGGCACATGGCGGTACAATGATAGTACAATGTCTGGCACATCGAGGTACAATGATAGTAAAATGTCTGGCACATGGCGGTACAATGATAGTACAATGTCTGGCACATCGAGGTACAATGATATTACAATGTCTGGCACATGGCGGTACAATGATAGTACAATGTCTGGCACACGGCGGTACAATGATAGTACAATGTCTGGCACACGGCGGTACAATGATAGTACAATGTCTGGCACATGGCGGTACAATGATAGTACAATGTCTGGCACACGGTGGCACCAATAACAATATTTCATGTTGTAGGATACAATCTGTACAAGATATATAATGAACCGTCAGTCACCTTTGTCTCCGTTCACCAGGAGGTCACACAACACCAGGGAGATATTATTATGTGCCGTTTCCTGAAACCTGACGGGAATGTCATTCAGACATCAAACCCTGGACAATGGAGAGGTCAGAGGATGTGCCACTGTGAAAAGAATTCTGAAAGAGGCAGAAGATTAACCCCTTCACTGCCAGAACCATTGACACATTTTTTTTTGTGCACGCGTGTTAAAATGTACATGTTGGATCTGAAGATTAGTTTAAATCTCACACATTATATATTGTTTGGAAGCGAAGACCTTGGAGACTATACCAGCCGTGGTTGCACGTTCTTTAATGTCACATGGTATTAGCACAACTCTTTATTCCACTCATATTTCCAGTAAAATATACACTAAAGTTCATTTTAATGCAGAAGGACACAATATATTACCCAATTGTTTGGGTAAAATATGAAATATGACTGTAACAGAACCGACCAGGGGCGGACTGACCATTTGGAAACTTGGGCACTGCCCGAGGGCCCGGGGTCAGTAGGGGGCCCCATGAGATGCCCCTGGTACCTTTTTCATAGGCTTTTTTTGAGTTTGGGCAAGGACACAGGGGCCCCATGATCCCCTATTGTCCTGGGGCCCCATGACTTGTCAGTCTGCCCCTGGAACCGACCCAGACTACGCTTGAGTACTTCTGTTAGAATACCGCTTCCCTATCCGAACACCGACCCCAGACATCACCGCCGACCATACAAGACTAGACGAGACCAATCTTGAAGTAAACCAGGAGGTAGACTACTTTATTTGAACACAGATACAATATATACACTCAGGGAACAATCCCCCCTCCAGGGGTAGACTGACCATTGGGGAACTCGGGCACTGCCCGAGGGCCCGGGGTCAGTAGGGGCCCCATGAGATGTCCCTGGTACCTTTCATAGGCTTTTTTGTGTGTGATTTGAGTGTGGGCGAGGACACAGGGGCCCCATGATCCCCTATTGCCCGGGGGCCCCATGAGTTGTCAGTGCGCCTTTGCCCCCCTCTCTGCATAATGACACAGGGCGGGGCAATCTACATTTAGTAACAAAAGACACACCAACAGACAGTCCCATCAGGAGGGAGGGCTGCTGGAGACACCCCCCACCAAGCTAATAGCTAATACACACAAACACATACATCCCATAATAGTTTGCTCCCAAGCAAGACACACAATAGAACAATGGGATGAAACCACATGGCATTACCACTTCAATACCGGGCACTTATACCCCCTTCCTCTCCAGGCCAATTTTCAGATTTCAGCGTTGTTGCACTTTGAATGACAATTGCGCGATCATGCAACACTTTACCGATATGACATTCTTATCATTTTTTTTTTCACACAAATAGAGCTTTCTTTTAGGTGGTATTTAATCACCACAGAATGTTTTTATTTTTTTTGCTAAATAAAACAAAAAACACCTGAAAATTTTTTAAATAAACACACTTTTCTTGGTTTCTGTTAAAAAATTATTTTGCAAATAAATAACATTTCTTCATAAATTGTAGGTCAGAATGTATTCTGCTGCATTTCTTTGGTGAAAATAATAATAATAATTGAATTTGTATTTTTATTTCAATTGTTTTTATTATTTATTTATATTACATTTTTGCTTTTTTGTTACTATTTTATTTTTCAGCACACGGTGACCAAAGCAATACAATGTTACCATAGTAACATGGAACTACTCTGGGCGAGTGATCAGGATTTTTTTTTTTTTTTAACACATTATGATTGCTAATACCGATGTGTTTCATTGATATTTGCATTCATTGTTACTGAATGAAACTGATTCATTCAGTCTTTTGTTGTGATTAGCTGTGATTGGGCAAAGCTGATCACATGATATAGATGGGCTGTGATTGGCCCTGTCTGTATCATGTGTCTGCCTTGACCAATCACAGCTAACAACATAATTGTATGCAATGGATGGCATGACGGGAAGTGATCCATTGTATACAATTGACGTGTGATCTGCTGTGATTGGTCACGGCGGTCACATGACACTGGCCACGGGCTGGTGTAGTGATAGGTCATCGGCTGTGTCAACGTGACAGGTTGCGCCATTTGAGCGGCTCGTTTTGACAGGACGTCATATGACGCCCAGTCACGATCTGCTATAGAAGGTGTTAAACAATCAACAAACCCCACCCCAATATTAGGCCAGATCACCCTGTACCCCTAACAGGCACAGGGTGACTTACACATAAGAGGGATATGGGGAGCTGAGACGGGTCTCCCCACCTCTCCAAAGTGAGCTGTGTTCCATGGGCCCCCTACCCAAAGTGAGCTGTGTTCCATGGGCCCCCCACCCAAAGTGAGCTGTGTTCCATGGGCCCCCCACCCAAAGTGAGCTGTGTTCCATGGGCCCCCCACCCAAAGTGAGCTGTGTTCTATGGGCCCCCCCACCCAAAGTGAGCTGTGTTCCATGAGCCCCCCACCCAAAGTGAGATATGTTCTATGGGACCCCCACCCAAAGTGAGCTGTGTTCCATGAGCCCCCCCACCCAAAGTGAGCTGTGTTCCATGAGCCCCCCACCCAAAGTGAGATGTGTTCTATGGGACCCCCACCCAAAGTGAGCTGTGTTCTATGGGCCCCCCACCCAAAGTGAGCTGTGTTCCATGAGCCCCCCACCCAAAGTGAGATGTGTTCTATGGGACCCCCACCCAAAGTGAGATATGTTCTATGGGACCCCCACCCAAAGTGAGCTGTGTTCCATGAGCCCCCCACCCAAAGTGAGATGTGTTCTATGGGACCCCCACCCAAAGTGAGATATGTTCTATGGGACCCCCACCCAAAGTGAGCTGTGTTCCATGAGCCCCCCACCCAAAGTGAGATGTGTTCTATGGGACCCCCCACCCAAAGTGACTCCTGTCACACATCACTACGGTAAATAAATAAAATACTAAATATAATACTAAGCCCAATGTGATAAAAATATCCTTTATTGAAAAAAATATAAAAAAAAAAAGGCACACCCAGGCACTTAAACCCCCCCACAAAAAAAATGTGAGTCCCCCCCCCCAATCACCACCTCATACATGCACATATGAACCTGTACAGGTATCAGGGTGCTTATGCATTAAAACTTTGATTTCGCTGTACGTGAGACATATCACCGCGCACATCGCAGTGACGTCAGCAATTCTAATCCCGTTTTCGCGGTTATCTCTAAACCAATGACCTGTAAGGGCTTTTAAACGTGGCCTATGGAAAATCTAGAGTGCTGTAGTTTGTCGCCATTTCACGGGAACACACAATTTAAGGCTTGACATGTTGGGTATCTATTTACTCGGTGCGACCTCGTCTTCTACATTTTACCGAAAATTGGGTAATATATTGTGTTTATGTGCCCTGAGATTAGTGTATTTTTTATTGAAATGTTGCATTTTATAAAGCGTTGCACTAATAATATGTGACCTAAAAAATTGGTTCTTTCTCTTTTTATTTATTCTCCTGGATCTTTGCTTTCAGAAAATATATATTGCGTTTTGGAGGGTTTTAACCACTTCCCGTCCGTCCGCTATATATAAACGGCATGATGGTAGCAGTGCAGGGGCGAGTTGCCGTTCATAAACGGCGCCCACCATTTTGGATTGCGTGCACTCCCTGGGAGCGCGCGGCACCGCTATCCGGTGCCCGCTGTTTCCTCCGGACACAGCGAAACACTGATCGCTGTACGGGACCTCTGTGTGAGGTCCCGATCATGTGATCACTGATTTGCCAATCAGTGATCACATGAAGAGTAGTAAGCAAGATGTCACTTCTGACATCATTGCTTACTACTTGTGAAATCTGTGAATGATCACAGAGATCACATGGTACAGGGCCATTCACAACAGCCTTGTACCATGTGACAAGCTGTGATCAATCACAGCTCACACAGTATTTCTCAATGGCTGCAGGAATGATTGCTTTTACAGCCTTTGTGGGTATAAAAGCAATCAGTGTAAAAAAAAAAAAATCTTCATCACCCCTCACAAGTAGTACAGTGTCACCATGGTGACACTACACTGCTAGGGTGACAGTATGTTAAAAAAAAACCCATAACTAATAATATAAAAAAAAAATAAAAATGTAAAAAAAAATGTTTAAAAAAATGTTAATTTTTGGTTATAAACAAATTTGGGCTATTTTTTTTTTCTAAAAAGATAACTGAAAAAATTTTGGCCAAGATTTATGAAGAAAGATTATTTATTTGCAAACTTTTATAAGAAAAACACTTTTTTTTTTCAAAATGTTTGGACTTTTTTGTTTATATAGCAAAAAAAAATAAATACCACCAAAATAAAGTTTTATCTGTCTAAAAAAATGCTAAAAAATTCATATGGGTACAGTGTTGCATGACCGCGCAATTGTCATTCAAAGTGTGATAGCGCTGAAAGCTGAAAATTGGCCTGGGGGGGAGGGGGGGGGGGAGTGTCAGTTCCGGACAAGCGTACAAAAAAGGCAAAAACAGCTTTCTTTTTTTTTTAACCAGAAAAGTTTTATTGAATACACTATATTGCCATAAGTATTGTCCCCGCCCTCCAAACCATGTGATTCAGGTGTTCCAATCCCCTCCAAACCATGTGATTCAGGTGTTCCAATCCCCTCCATATCATGTGATTCAGGTGTTCCAATCCCCTCCATATCATGTGATTCAGGTGTTCCAATCCCCTCCATGGACACAGGTGTATACAATCCATCCCCTAGGCATGCAGACGGCTTCTACAAACATTGGTGAAAGAATGGGTCGCTCTCAGGAGCTCAGTGACTCCAAGCGTGGTCCCGTGATAGGTGGCCACCTGGGCAATAAGTCCATCCGTGACATTTCCTGGCTACTAAATATTCCACGCTCAACTGTTATTGGGATTATAACAAAGTGGAAGCAACTGGGAACAACAGCCACTCAGCCACCAAGTGGTAGGCCACGTCACATGACAGGGCGGGGTCAGCGCATGCTGAAGCGCACAGTGCGCAGAAGTCACCAACTGTCTGCAGAGTCAATAGCTAAAGACCTCCAAACTTGGTGTGGCCTTCAGATGAGCCCAACAACAGTGCGTAGAGAGCTTCATGGAATGGGTTTCCATGGCCGAGCAGCTGCATCCAAGCCTTCCATCACCAAGTGCAATGCAAAGCGTCGGATGCCGTGGTGTAAAGCACACCGCCACTGGACTCTAGAGCAGTGGAGGTGTGTTCTCTGGAGTGACCAATCACGCTTTTCTGTCTGGCAATCCGATGGACGTGTCTGGGTTTGGCGGTGGCCAGGAGAACAGTACTTGTCTGACTGCATTGTGCCAAGTGTAAAGTTTGGTGGAGGGGGGATTATGGTGTGGGGGTGTTCTTCAGGGGTTGGGCTTGGCCCCCTAGTTCCAGTGAAGGGAACTCTTAAGGTGACATTTTGGACAATTTCATGCACCCCTTTGTGGGAGGAGTTTGGGGATGGCCCCTTTCTGTTCCAACATGACTGCCCACCAGTGCACAAAGCAAGGTCCATAAAGACATGGAGGAGCCAGTTTGGGGTGGAGGAACTTGACTGTCCTGCACAGAGTCCTGACCTCAACCCCACAGAACACCTTTGGGATGAATTAGAGCGGAGACTGCGAGCCAGGCCTCCTCCCCCGACATCAGTGCCATCAGTTGCAAGAAAAAGTATGTGAACCCCTTGGGATTACGTAAAGTTTTGCATGAATTGGGCATAAAATGTGCTCTGAACGTCATCTAAGTCACAACAATAGAAGAACACAGTCTGCTGAACATAATACTACACAAACATTAGATGTTGCCATGGTTTAATTGCACATAACATGTAAACATTCACAGTGCAGGGAGGAAAAAGTATGTGAGGCCCTAGCTTAATGACTTCTCCCAGAGCTAATTGGAACCAGGAGTGAGCCAACCTTGACTCCAATCAGTGTGATGATATTGGATGTGTTGCTGGCAGCTGTCCTGCCCTTTAAAACACACACACCTGTTTTACAAAGTTACAATGT